GGTAAATCTTCTTCCATCCCTTTATTTTCAGTCTATGTGTATCTTTGTATGTGAGATGAGTTCCTTGAATACAGCACACTGATGGGTTCTGACTTTTTATCCAGTTTGCCAGTCTGTGTCTTTTCATTGGGGCGTTTAGGTCATTTACATTCAATGTTAATATTGTTATGTGTGAATTTGAGCCTGCTATTTTGTTACTGGCTGATTTTCTTTCCCATTAGTTGACTCATTTTCTTCATTGGAGTTTTGGTCTTTGCCAACTGGTTTGCTTTTACAGTGACTGGTACTTTTTCCTTTCCGTGCTTAGTGTTTCTTTCAGGAGCTCTTGTAGGGCAGGTCTGGTAGTGACAAAGTCTCTCAATAATTGCTTGTCCATAAGGATTTTATTTCTCCTTCACTTAGGAAGCTTAGTTTGGCTGGATATGAGATTCTGGGTTGAAAGCTCTTTTGTTTAAGGATGTTAAATATGTGCCCCCACCCTCTTCTGGCTTGTAGGATATCTGCTGAGAGATCTACTGTGAGTCTGATTGGCTTCCCTCTGTGGGTGACCTCACCTTTCTCTCTGGCTGCCCTTAGCATTTTTTCCTTCATTTTGATGTTGCTGAATCTGATGATTGTGTGCCTTGGGGTTGCTCTTCTTGAGGAATAGCTTTGTGGAGTTCTCTGTATTTCTTGAATTTGAAATTTGGACTGTCTTGCTAGACTTGAGGAGTTCTCCTGGATAATATCCTGGAGCATGTTTTCCAACTTGGATTCTTTCTCCCCATCATATTCAGGTACAACAATCAAGCATAGATTAGTTCTTTTCACATAATCCCATATTTCTTAGAGGTATTGTTCATTTCTTTTCACCCTTTTTTCTCTTGTCTTCCCTTCTCTTTTTATTTCACTGAGTTGATCTTCAATCTCTAATATCCTATTTTCTGCTTGATCAATTCGGCTATTAAAACTTGTTTGTGCTTCACGTAGTTTTTGTGCTGTGTTTTTCAACTCCATAAAGTCGTTTATGTTTTTTTCTAAGCTGGTTATTCTAGTTAGCATTTCGTCTAACCTTTTTTCAAGGTTTTTGGTTTCTTTGAATTGAGTTAGAAGGTGTTCCTTTAGCTCAGAAAAGTTTGTTATTATCCACCTTCTGAAGCCTGTTTCTGTCAATTTGTCACACTCCTCGGTCGAGTTGTGATCCTGTGTTGTTGAGGAGTTGTGATCCATTGAAGAAGAAGAGGTATTCTGGTCTTTGATGGTTTCATCTTTTTTTGTGCTGGGTTTTTCCCATCTTTGTGGATTTACCTGGCTGTGGTGTCAGAGAGCTGCTTGATTAGGTCACTTATCTGCCTGTGGGGGTGCTACTGGGTTTCTAGGGACTCCTTCAGGTTACTAGGGAAGCTTCCTATGTCTTTTCTGTTTATACTGGGAGATTAGGCCCCCCTCTTCCTCTGACCTGTAGGAACTGCTGGGTTGTCAAGAATGCCGTCCTGTCCCGTTGCTATGTAGACATCCTGTGTTTTTTGTTAAAACATGTAGCCCAGTGCCACCCCTCTAGTGCTGGGTTGTGCCCTTCCTCCACTGGGCTGGATCATTCAGGGTTCCTCTCAGACTGTGGCACTGGCTGCGCAACCCACTAGAGTCAGGGCTTCAGCCCTCTGGGGTTTGTGGGGGAGGTTAGGGACCCACCCAGCCACACCTGGCCTCCTCCCCCTTTCAGCTTCCTCTCTCTCCAGTCATGGGATAGGGACCTGCCCAGCTGCTCCAGCTTACAGCTCTCTCTCTCTCTGGGTGGGGGTAGGGGGCGATAGCTCAGTCTGCAGGCTCTTATTCAAGTCCGTGCTTGTAACTCCTGGTGCTTGGCTGGCAAAGATCCCCTGTTCTGTGTATTGCTGAGCCTTTAGGGGAAGCGCTGTACCTTGACCGGAGTGCCAGAGGTAGAGCCTCCGACTCGCCCGTCAGATGCACTTTCTGGGTGAAGCAGCACCCCTCCAGCCTCGGTCTGCCCTGAGTGGGCTTTGCTCACCATCAGACTAGATCCATTGAAATGCACCTGGTACCTTGGTTGGAGCTAGTAGATCTCTAGATTTCTGCGTCTCTCTCCCTGGGTGTTGTGGGCTAGAGTTGTGTCTAATTGGCCATCTTGGATTGGATCCCTTTTCTAGTTTTTTCTTTACAAAAACGATACAACGAACATCTATGAGCATGTATGTGTGTCTGCATCCATATGTGTGTATCTTCATATATTTCAGAAAATATATGTATAAGAACTGCTGGGTTAAGAATATAAATATTTTCAAATACTAAAAATCACTCAAACCATACATTTGTGAGTAGTCATTGATATCAGATACAACATCACAGCAAAACAAATGTAATCAAGAATTTAAGTAAGGCACCAAAATGGGAACCAATGAGTCTCTTAAGGCAAGAAGACTGTATTAAGGGTTGATGTGGCATTTAGTGGAAAGGAATACATATGAGAGGTAATTTATATTCTCTCAAATAAATCCCCTGGGTTTCTTATCCCCTGGGTGTACTGAAAAATTATTAGTTTTCCCCTCTCCCTCCCTAAAGAAGAAAGGAATTTTCCTCTGATCTTCACAGTGAGAACCTGATGAAGCTTCTGGAGTTAAATCAGGAAAGTGTGGGGAATCCCCACTTCAGGCTGGGGCCCCAGGAGTTTTAAACTCTCAAGCTAGTTCTCAAGCTGCCCCATGCTCATAGCCACAGCACCCATTTTTCCCTTCGTAGTTAATAAACACTAATGTGAAATATAAAATGCACAAACAACTTAAAACTATGGCCAGTATTCACAGGTAGAAATTATAATACAATATAATTAAGTGACCAATTTATAATACTTACAGTCAAGTAAAATATTTCACTCAGATACCTTAAAATTAGAAATTTTCCTCTCAGGATTAGGCCACATTTTCTCTGAAAAGCCATCATCCTTGAGTCATGCCATTCCAAGAATCAGTTTTTCTTCTGATGGACAATTGCTGATCACTTAAATCTGTACCTGCCACTGACAGTGGGTATTAGTTTAACCCCAGGACGCGAAGAATCAGAACGTCTTAGAAATAAGGTAGTGGATGTTATATGTATTAATGTGCTCTAAAGATAGTTAAATTTAGATGGGAGCAAATAAAATTTCTTCTTTTTTTTTTTTAAGGCCGTGACCATTTTTTCCATTTTTATTTGATGTTTCCAAATATAAAAAAGTCAAGATTCTTACACCAAGTATCTCAAATGAGACCATGCGAAGCAATTTACTGTATACAACAATCATTTTTCCCCTTCAGTTCTGCTGCATCATACATATAACAGTGTGATTGACAGAAAACCTGGTTGGAAATGTCATCTATTTAGAAAATAACATCATGCAGGACAGTTTGTCTGCAAGTCAATTCACAAAAACTACTTTTCTCTTTTTTGTTTGGGAGGCACAGGAAACTGAAAAATCGAGCTGCCCAATTGTATTAAACTACCCAACTGAAAAAAAAAAAAATCACAAATGACAGCCCCAACACTCTGCAAACTTTGGAGGATTGAGATAGTAGACACTATTTGTTATATTTGGTAGAGTTAACTATTTAACAGAAATACATGTTCCTAGGGCCTTTCCTCTAATTTTGCTAGACTGGGTTCCAGAGGAATTGTGAAGAACCCCTTGTGTAAAATTTAAAGTGTGAAAATTGTATTGTTGCATTATGCAGATTTTTGCTACTTGCATAGACTAAAGATGGTTTGCTAAATGGCTCTGAAAATCCTGACTGAGTGTCACTATTTAGTCCAAATGTTTCTGACCAAAGAAAATTATACAACAATATTTATAGGCTAACTCTAAAGAGATGGCTGACATTAATACTGTACATATTTTACATGTCAAATACATAGTCCAAGAGTTTATAAAATAAGTTCATGCATTATTACCTTATTACCTCTAAGAATATCATGTACAAGATATGCATGCCCCCCGCTCCATTACTTATGACAGCATTTCAGGTGGAAGCAGTCTTATATACAAAAACAATCCAGTTTCTCTGCTATGTTAAGTATACAATTTAAGGAAATTTCAGAGATTACTGACCAAAAAAATCTTAGTCCATTGAAGATACAAAGTGTCAATTTGTGGGATTTAAAATATTTCCTTTATAAAAGAACACCCAGAATATGTAACCTCTACAGAAAGAAAAAATATAAAAATTCTGGATGATCATGTTTGATCACACTACGTACTTTAGAATGAAATGTCGCTGGTTAAAAGTTTTTCTGCTTTACTCATTCCTTTGAAAGTATTAATTTGTGAACACTTATATTTAGCTTAGCTGATTTATGGCATAAGATCTCATTTTCAGAACAGCACCAATTTTCCTGAAGTGTAGCAGTGCTCTATTTTTAGCAGTAATTATATTTCTAAAGGTTAATTTGTACAACAAATATTTTAACTATACTTTTTTCTGCTCTATATTCAGTTACAATATTTGCAAAGGACTGAATTCTATATAAAAAATGATCTTTTACTCTCCCCCACCCCTCATCTTCGTCAAGCTTCTCCCACCTCATTTCTTCCCTGGTTGGGGATGTGCAGAGTTTCAGGTAAGGTACCTACCTGTGTTTTAGATGGGATTCCTGATTTTAAGTGAGCATAAAGTAAAAGATTTAATTCTTAGTTCAGATATGTTGTAGTGCCTTGAAGTTATGTGACAAATAGTACCTGTTGACAACCTAGAAAAGATGAAACATTCTAAGGTACCCTATCAATCTTCAGTCTCTAACAGCTGGACAGGAAGGCAATTTTACTCAACGGAGATGCAATCATCATTGACTGGCATTTAAAGTTACATTGCAAGACTCCACTCCTATGGTGGACCACTAGATTAAATAACTGAGAATACATTTTAAGAGCAATTAACATTGAATGAAGTATGTTTCTAAGATACTTTGTGTAAAAAGAGAGTATCAATAATGGGAACTGGCAACTGAGCATGCTAAATCAAATTCCATGAATACAATTTTCATGATGTCTTTACTACATGCATTTCGCTAATATTTCCCTAAAATATTCACCAACTCTATAGAGTTATACTTTGTGTTAAGGTACTATTGAGTTCTAAGGGAAATAGCCATATCAGATAGCTAGTGACATAATATCAGTTGTGAAAATTCAGACAAATGAATTCGACAAATCCCTGAAAATGGCAAATTAAGCCCTTCGACAAAATAATTATTGGATCATACAGAAGTAGACAAAATCTGGAAAATTTGAATTAAAATCGTAATCCTATAAAACAAGTTTTGGGGTGAATGGATTTCTTTAATACCAATAGTGTTTTTCATTGCCAAGACAGATGGATTTGCTGAATATGCTAACGCTGTGAATGAGAAAACAATTTTGGGGGAAGTATACCCACAAGTAATCTGATGACAAAACAAACCACAGACTGATGTCAAATGGGCAAAAACCTGAAAATATGCTGTGAGAAATAGACAACCGAAATAATATAGGGGGTTGTGGGGTGTGGCACAGTTAAGGCATCTAAAAAAAATTCCACATGGCTTTGGCTTATTAAAATATTTTACACTATTTTTTAAAAAAGATTTGAAAGCATCTGAAAAGCATGCAAATTGTTTGAAAACCTTGCATGGCAAATTCAGACAGTTTGCAAGCGTCATTCAGATGTTTGACGAGGAAATGAAAGAAGCCTCTCCCTAAGAGACTGCTCGTGGTGGGAGAGGCCTTCCCAGTTCTATCTTACACTAGATGGCAACCCAGAGGTCTGTGCCGAGGTGACAAACAAGGCATTATTATCTGGAAGGGAAGGGACCGTGGAATTTCCATCGGCTGGGGAACAACCCCGCTTTAGCTTTTCCAGATACTCTGCATGCACAGGTTTATGACACTGGAGAACTTGGATTGCATCTTCTACTTTGAACCACTCTCTCTTCCTTCCTATATTAGCGGAATCCTCCCAATCTTCTAATATGTCAGTGACTGTTAGAACATAAACATGTGTTCTGTGCTTTCGGTCTTGGTGCTGCTCAAATACGCCCAGAAGTCTGCCTAGTTTTCCTCTGACTCCAGCCTCCTCAGAAACTTCCCTGACGGCAGCACCGCCAGGCTCCTTCTCAGGCTCCATTCCTCCTCCTGGGACCGTCCCCTGGTCTGGGCACCCGCTGCTACTCACCCGCAGCACCTGGTCCTCCCGCTCGCTGCGGAAGCACAGGCCCGCCGCCCGCTTCTTGGAGCCCTAGCACTGGTAGGTCAGCGTCTGCTTGGGCTCGAACTTCATCACAGAGGCGGGCTCCTGCTGCCGCTGCTGCTCCGGCCACCGCCGCGAGGACCCGGGCGCCGCAGCGCCGCCGGGAAGCGGGGCGAGGGTGAGCCGGGCGCAGGGCAGCCGGGCGCGCTGGTGGGTGCGGGAGGCGCCGCGAGGCCGGTCAGTCCCGGGGCGGGCGGCCGCACTGACGCGGGCGGGACGGGACGCGAGCGCGGGTCGCTCGAGCCCAGGTGCCCAGAGGAAGGCGCAGCCTTTGCAGGGGCGACCACCCCTCTCCAGGGAGCTGGCCTCCCTCTCGCCTCCGCTCCCTCTGGCCGCAGTCGCCAGGGGAAGGACCATCAAATTTCTTCTTTACAGCCAGCAGATTGGTACTGTGGCTCCTCGTCACTTACCTCCTCCATGCATCAGAATAAAATCTTTCCTCGACATAACACAAGATCACTAATAGTAGGGGAACAGGAGATGTAGTGGAAATCTCCATCGCTGAATGACTTTTAGCCTTTCTGCATAATAATGGCAGATATTTGAGTACTTGTTATGGGCAGGGTGCACTGGTAAGGCCTAATTTGTGTTATTCCATTTACTCATAACAACCCTATGAGGTAGATGGAAAATAAGCACTATCTAACAGATTGGTAATAGAATGCATAGAAAAGCTAAGCCAAGTCAACAACTGGTATGTACAGAGCCAGTATTCATATCCAAGTACTGTGGCTACAGAACTCCTACCCTTAACAATTTCGCTAAAGCTGAAGATTCATTTGCTTTAAACTCGTGAACCCCCAGGCTCCACCTCTTTTCCCGTTCCCGCTTTGAAGCTCACAGAATCTCAGTGGGTCATATCCCTCTGCCACTGGGAAGAGAAGGTGGGCAAGGGCAGATGTCTCTACAGATGTGTTACTGGGAAACTGGGTGTCACAACCTTCACCATTTAATTTGCTTTGTGTGTGTGTGTGTTTTTTTTTGTTTGTTTGTTTTTCCTGAAAGCCAAATGTGACGTATCTGGTAATAGGACCTAAGGTAATCAGGCTTTTGGTTAATCTGGCTAGGAGCTGAGCTATGTTTACTTTGTTGTAGCTATGCCAGAGGCTTATGTTTCCTCTAGAGTTTGGGTTTTGGTGTGGTTTTTTTCTTCCCTGTTATCTTTAGGCTTCCCTAAGAACTCCTTCTCAGTCTGTAAGAGCTCTCTCAATAGCAGTCCACTGCTATTATTTTGAAGCCCTGTTGATTCCATGGTAACATACTGGGGAGGAAAAGTGTGTTCTAAGCTTATGATTAAAACTCAGGGGTTGTTTTAGCGGGTCTGAATCTCTGGACTGACTTTCAGAAGCATTTCTTAGCCTTTTTTAACCTCTCTCCTTGTGTGAGAAGGCTAGGGAACACTCAATCTGTCTAATTGCTCTGACTTAGGTCAGATAAGGCTCTGGTAAAGGAGTTTCCGTTGAAGTAAGGCCTTTGCTGAGGAGAGCAGAACACTCTGGATGTATTTAAAAATGGTTTCTTATCCCCTGGGTGTACTGAAAAATTCTTAATTTTCCCCTCTCCCTCCCTAAAGAAGAAAGGAATTTTTCTCTGATCTTCACAGTGAGAACCTGATGAAGTTTCTGGAGTTATAGCAGGAAAATGTGGGGAATCCCCACTTAAGACTGAGGTTCCAGGATTTTTAAACTCTCAAGCTAGTTCACCCTTGGCCTCTGGAAATTTATCAATTACTATTTAAATGTTCCTGCTAGTTACTTATTTCAGTAACTTCTGTTTCTGCTAAGCTGTGATTCTTTGTATTTATCTGCCTTTCCAGTTTTGGAGGCAGTGGTTTGCCCTGTGACTTCAATTTTCTGATGGATCTAAGAATAGCTGTTTTCAGTTTATTCAGCTTTTTTCTTGTGAGGACGCTAGGTGACAACTTCCAAGCTCTTAACACGTTGGAGTGTCATGAGGTAGAAGGAATAATCTCACAAAACTTACATAGTGTCTTACTTCATTTGACCCACTGTAGTAAAATACGACATAATTTAATAATAATAGAAATTTATTTCTTACAGTTCTAGAGACTGAGAAGTCCAAGATCAAGGTATCAGCAGATCTGGTGTCTGGACAGGGCTCACTCTCTGCTTTGTAGATGGGGTCTCTTGCTGTGTTCTCATATGGCAGAAGGCCAGGAAGCTCCCTTCGACTTTTTGTACCAGGACATTAATTCCATTGATGAAGACAGAGCCCTCATGACTTAGTCACTTCCCAAAAGATGCCACCTATTAATACCACAATGGGGATAGGTTTCAACATGAATTTTGGAGTGATACATTCAGGCCATAACAGATAGTATCTCTAAATTTTCCTAATTTTTAAAAAATACATCTTATCATTTCAATGACAATACACAGGAAATGTCCCCATCAAATGATAGTTGATTCTGACTGCACATTTGGAGATTTTATTTCATTTTTAACACCAGGGTTTGGGCCCTTCTCCAGGCCAACTGAATCAGAATTTTTAGGGGTTAGGCTTGAATATCTACCCCTGTCCCTACCCTGGCTTTTTAATGTGAAAACCATAGGGCAATGGTTCTCAAACTTAAGTGTGCATCTCAGAATTACCTGGAAGATTTGAAATTCAGATTGCAGGGCCCTGCCTCCAGGAATTTCTGACTCAATGGGAGTAGGGCGGAGCCCAAGAATTTACATGTCTAACAAGTTACAGATGATGCTGATGTTGCTGGCACTGGACCACATTTAGCAAACCACTACCACAGCAGATCCTAAAAAGAAATTGCAACATTTGAAATCCATGATCTGCTTATACCTCTTGCAAAACGTGACACCATAATTTCCCATTTTTCTGTGAACTCTCTGGTTGATTAGGTCAAAATGCTGAGTTAGGGCTCCCCATTTTTTTTTCTTTTGGTATATTAAATTTTTCTATTTTTCAGGGTTCTCTCTATGGCCAGATTTTCTGTACATGACACCTAACTTACCTTCTGGGTGATCTTATATATTTGCATAGTTTATTTCATCTAAATGCTGATTATTAAAAAATCTATTTGTCCAGTTGGATTTCTCTCCTGAGCTTCACATCTGTATTTTCAATTGGTTGCTTGACATATCCAGGAAGACGTTTCCCAAAAAGCTGCACTCAGCCTGTCTGCATCTGAGATATGACACCAAGATATAGTCTATTTTTTCAAGCCAGAAACCCGCATGTCAACTTTGATTTCTTTTCCTTATCCCTCTCTTAAAATGGTCCCCAAAGCCTACAAAAACTATTTCCTTAATATCTCCCAAATCCATTTCACTCCACTTATGCCACTGTCTATGTTATACTATTCGGTTGGTGCAAAACCCACACCAACCTACACTTCTGACTGAATGGCAAACCCACAATTGCTTTTGCACCAACCTACACTTCTGACTGAATGCTCCAATGAGATGATCTCATTTTATAAAATCTAAAGCTAGAACTGTAGCATTGGTGAGAAGGAATACAAACTAATTTATTACTGATACCTCTTATACCACCCATGAACCAGTGCTCTCCAGTATGCTAGTGACAGAGGTTCCTAATTTGAGCTAGTGTGTCCTGCACTGGAAAGCTGGGTCCTTGTGGAAAGGCTGGAGTAGGTCCAACAGAGGTCTACTTGCATGAATGGCCAAGGAAGCTCCTGGGAAAGAATTCACTGGAAGAGAAGAGAATCTGAAGGTGGGAGTCATATAGGGAAGTTGCCTCAGCAACCAAAATTCAGTTACTGAGAGAAGGAAAATAATTAAATATAGCAGATGATTTGTTACTCTCCACCTCGCGCCTCTGTGAACTTAAGTTCTCTGTAGGTGTTAGATCTGCAAGTAAATAAATGGAATGAACCATGTGCCATTTGTTAAGCACCAAACCCTCTTATAGCCTCTGCTTGGTGATGCTGTAGCCAGGACCCTGCAGACCTCAGTTCTGCTTTGCCAGCTGGCTTCCTACTAGGCTTTGCCAGTATGGGGAGGGAGCCACTATAGGGAAACTGGAAGGCTGCTATAATAAAATGCCATAAACTAGATAACTTACAAACAAACAACAGACATTTATTTTTCATAATTCTGGAGGCTGAGAAGTCCATGATCAAGGCATCAGCAGATTCATTGTCTGTGTAGGGCCTGCCTTCTGGTTCACAGATGGCAACTTCTCACTGTGTTTCACATGACAGAAGGAACGCAGCAGCTCTCTGGGGCTTCTTTTATAAAAGGCCATTAATCCCATGCATAAGGGCTCTGCCCTGATGACTGAATCATCTCCCAATAGCCCCACCTCCTAATACCATCACATTGGTGAGCAAGTTTCAATAAATAACTCTTGAGGGGAAACAGACATTCCAACCACAGCAGCAATCCTTTATGTTAAATTCTCTTTGCTCAAACAACTGGAACAGGTGTTGTCTCCTGATTGGACCCCAACCAATTTAAACCATTTCACTAACATCATCATAAAATATTGGGACAAAAAAAGTTCTCTTTGGTTCCTTTCAATGATACTGTAGTACATAATGGGAAAAAGGCATTCTGTATCTCATCTCATGGTAAATGATGCAACTGTATTCTGTAGATGAAATGGTACCTGAGTGAACAGAGGGTAGTGTTCAGCTGTGTACATATAATGTGCTGCATTATGTGCATGGCAGACCTGGCCTGGCTATGCCCAGGGGACACAACAGTGCCTACAGGATGTGGTGATAACCAGTGCAGGAGCACACACAACAAAAAGGGATCAAAACCATTAATGTTGGTGAATTCTCTTCTTCTACTCTGACTTTCTTGGTGAAAAGTAACCAGATTTCTTAGTGAGCTCATGTAAGACAGCCTTTGAGAACACCTAGAAACACATGGGGCAGGTTTGTGGATAGTTAGGAAACAGTATTAGCAAGTAACAGAAAGATCCATTGAAATCAAGATTACCCTAGTTAGCTATAGGTATGTTTTAAATTTTAGTATTAACAACCATAGCCTTTAAAATAGAAGATATTAAATACTCTTATTTTT